TCATTAGCGGAGCGAACGGCGGATGCTTCCGGTGGTTACAGCGTCTGTGATTGGGCGGCCGGCTCGGGTCCGCTCGCCGGCCCGCTGGGTGTCGGCTCGAGGCGCGCTCTACAGATGGCCGACGCTGTGTGGGGGTGGTTTCGTGCCCGGCTTGGGGTTATCATGGAGGGGTGTGGTCACATTGGTGCGGATCCAGGAGGTCGTAATTACCTGTTCCAAGATGGGCACGCGGTCAGTGGCAGCTTCACTGGAACTGTGCACACTGCATCGTTCAGGCTCAGGGCGGCTAGACAGTCCCGGAGGCAAGGTCTGGTCCATTTGATCGGACGGTCGGCTCAAAGGCCAGGCTGTCTAATCTGGACCCATCTGTTGGTGACCTCCCAGTATTTATCTGGTCCTGACGCGCGGCCGTCTGGTGCGGTCTGAGGTACGGCACGGTCTCTGTTTATTGTTATGGCTCACTGTGAGTGCGCTGGACACCATTATTCGGCAGGCGCGCGTTGGCTGACGGTTGCCTTTCAGGGGTATGGGTATCGACTTCGTTAAGGTAGGCAGTTACCGAAGGCATGCACGCTGCCCTGGTCTGTGGCGTGCTTGCTAATGTCGTGCATAAAGCCCCAGCCAAATGGACTTTAAACCGGTATGTTATTTGAGTTGAGCAAAACGAGTGTTCTGGATCTATAGCCAAATGATGACATCCTACTCAGCTATAAGTTTCTGAACTCGTGTGTTACCGGGGTCGTCACTACGAATGTCGGCGAGGGGCAACGTCGTCCAATCGAACATGACACCTTTGACACTGCGTGCAAGGAACGACCCTGGAATGCCTCCCCCCCCCCCCCCCCCCTCCCAGCTGCGAAGAAATCCATCAGCTTACGTCGTCCTGTCGTCAAACATTGCTATGTTTGGATTGCATTTTGTGGCTTTTTGCTTACGATCGTGACACATTTTTCTGTGCTGACCGGCACATAACCGTGCACCTGGGAGCTCGAGCGGAATGGCAATTATTCTTGGGGAGATCTGGAAATCCCAGTTGCCGTCTGCACTAAAAGTGGTATGTCCTCCTGTAAAACACGATGCAATGACTCACTGGACGCCTCTCGCGTGCCGTAGCGGCGCGTATGTTACATAACACCTGCCCTTTCCTCGCCTGTCGATGCGTCGCCGCACGCCGCCACGCACGCCGTTGCTGGACGCCACCACGGCACGCTGCGCCGGCGGTGTGCTGAGGCTCGTGTTGGCTGACGGTCGCGTGGGGGAGGGGAGGGGGGAGCAGGCGAATGCCTGTCTAGTTTCCCCGGCGGCCGCCAGATCCCAACCCCAGCGTGTCACCTTTTACCTCGCCCACCGACAGACCTCGTCGGCTGACAGCGCGACAATTGATGGTTCTTGACAGTTGTCACTGGCTTCATTTGGCCCATAAAGCGGGCCGTAGAGTGGCATTGCCTTTTGTCGGAAGGGAGCGTAGTAAACCCTTCCGTCGGTGCGGCCGGTCCGGGGCCTGGCGCGCCCCCTCTGGCGGGGCCAAACCAATATGGTGGGCCGTCCGGAATTCTCCCGACATTTCCTCTAAAAGGGTCACCGTTGGGTAGACAAAGCACACCTGTCAATCAGATCCTTTCACGGTTCAATCGAAGGCGGGGATGAAAGGCAGCTGTACCCTTCGCCCTCTCTCCTCCCCCAGCCCCCGCTTCCAGTGCGTTCACAATCGAGGACATTGTTGGGCGGCTTTGGGGTAATTTTCACCGCATTCTGCCCGGGACGCCTCTGTTACAGCCGATGCGTTCTCGTAAATTCGGTAAAACTGTTAGGCGACAGATTGTAAAAGGGTGCGGACGGAGCAGGCATGGGATGAGCCGGTAGTGCTCCGTGTGTGTTTTACGACCGGCACACCTATAAACCCGTCCCTGTTAAATTCTCTAACATGACCCCCAAGCATGCCAGCGATTCTGCTCGGGCCCGCGTCGGCGCCGGCTCGCTGGCCGACATCTGGGGCGTGCCGGCCGGGCTTCCTCTCGTGGGAGCGGCTGGTCTCCAGTCGAGGGACGCGCGCGCTCTCAAATTCCTGCCATTCAGCCAGGCCGGCGTCCTGGCCTTGGTGGCGACGCCGGGCCGGTGGCCGGCGCCGCTCACCGCCGCCGGCTGCCATCGCGTCGGCCTGCCACGCTCCGCCGGCCGGCCGGCTGCGCGCACGCTCTCACGCACGGCCGCCCACTCTGTCGCACCGTCCGGCCGGGCGGCCCGTCGTCGCTTCGCCTCGCGCACGGCCGGCCGAGGAGGATCCGCCGGACGGGCGGACGGGCCGCTCCCCGTTCTCCGCTCCCCGCCGCCTGCCCGGCGCGTGCTGCCTCCAGCGGGAGCGGCCGGCCGGGCGGGACGGGACGGGACGCCACCGCGCGCCGCCGCCGGCCGGGGTTGTTGACTTGTTGGGCGCCGGTGCGCGCCGCCGCGGGCGAGAGGCTGCGCTCCACCGCCGCCGCCGCCGCCGCCGCCGCCTCCACTCGGGGGCGGTCGGCGCCGGCGCTGGTGCCGGTACCGGCGCGCATAGTAAGGCCCCCGGAAGCGGTGAATCAGGGCCCAAAGGTCGCGTCGCGTCGCGGGCGGCCTTGCAGTGGTCGGGTCGCGCCGACTGGGGCGCTGGAGCGGCCTGGTCAGCGCAGACGATGGTGGACGGCGGCTCCCAGCGCGACGTCTCGGCAGAGATAGCCGTGATCTATGGTGGCCTGAGGCTGCACGCGGCCCATCCGGTCTGGGATTTGCAGCCCGTCATCGCCAGCGGGAGTCGCATGCGCCACATCAGCGGAGCGGAAGTGGTGATGAATTGTGTCCGACTCCCGTATTGGACCTCTGAATGACGTCACGGGCTGGTGTTTACCAGTCGGCGCCCAGACTAAACCTGCTATCGATCAGCTCGCATGGGCTGCACGTCTGCAGAGCCGGTGTGTATCGGCGACTTACTTACTCGGCCGTCTGGCACAAGTGCGGGGGGGGGGGGCGGGACGAGACCCCACCTGGCGAGGAGAACCCCGGATCCGCTGAATCACGCGATCTGCAGCCGATTCTGACGAAACCGGTGACTGGTCGCGCCGCCGTCCACCCGGCGCGGCCTCCGAGGAGGAGAGCGGCGCTGCCTTCGGGCAGGCTGCGTGACGCGCGCAGGCGGCGGCGGCACCCGGCAGACGGCGCTGACCTGGCCGCCAGTCCGCCGGCGCCAGTAGCTGCACATAACCGGCGGCCACGGGCGGCGCGCCGCCGACCGGCCGTGAACCGGCACCGATTATCGGCGTCGAGCGGCGCCGCTCCGCGCCGCCGCCGCCTGCAAGATGGGCTGGCCTTGAGGCATCCGTCAGCCACGCACTGGCGGCCGGCCGGCCGCCGGGGCAGCTGAGCCCGGCTGTCTCGCAGGGGGTTTCGACCGAGGTCGGCTGCTGCCAGGCGGCCGGCGGCGCGGCGTATCCGGATCGTTGCTGGCGTCACTGGCCTTCCTCCCACGTCAAGGCGGACGTGAGTGAAGACGGCCGTGGCGTGCGGCCCGCCGCCGAGCCGGCGGCCGCCCGGGCCGTCTGAGGAGAAGCCGCAATCCGGCCGGATCGGGTGTTAAAACCCAGCCGTGGCGCGTGCCCCCTCCCCAGCACGACCGCTGCCCGGCTGGTGCTGTCAGCGGAGGAGTGCCCCACGGCAACCGGCCGGCGGTCGGTCTGGGGCCGGCCCACGGGCGCGCCTGGTGACGCGCCGGCCGACGACCCCGGCGCCGTGCGACACGTGCGGGCGCGGCGCCCGCCGACCGGTCAGCCGGCGGCCGGCCGGGCCTGGCCGCCGACAGGCCGGCCGGTCGCCAGGTGAGCCGGCGTATTGATCCCATCCGTCGCTGGCAAATGTCTCCTGTGCCGCGCCGCGGCGCCGGCGGCAGCGGCCGCGGCCGCGGCGGACGTGGGACGCCGTCTCCGGCGGCGCGGCGGCGTCACCGGGGCGTGACGTGGCCGCCGGGGCAGCCCGCGGCCCGGCCGTCACGCGGCGTGACCCGCGCCGACCGCCCCGCCGCCGGCGTCGGCCGGAGGTACTCCTCGGTGACGTCACGACCGGCGGTGACGTCAGTGGAGGCGCGGCGGCCGTGTGCAGGCAGCGCCGTTTGTTTGTGTGTGTGTGTATGTATGTATGTGTGTGAGAGTGCGGCCGCGGCGCGGGGGGCGCTGTTGCCGAGCGGCTGCGGTCAGGTGAGCCGGCGCGCCGACCGGCAGGGGCGCGCCCAGGTCAGCCGGCGCCTGGGGCGTCACGGCCGGCGCCGGTGGCGGCGCGCCGGCCTGCACTTGCGACGCGCCTCCGCGCGCTCTCGCCGCATTCCGCCTCGCATGCATCACGGCGGAGTTGACGGCGCATCCGTGTGCCGGCGGCCGTGGCGGAGCGGGCGCCGCGTCCGGCCGGGCCCTCCCCGCCGGCAGCTGTGTCCGCCTCCGGACCGTGTGCTGGCCGGCCCGGTCCTGAAGGTCGCGTGCTCGACGTGTACTCCCGGACAGCCAGCGGGGAGCGGCTGGCTTCCGGCAGCCTCGGCGCGGTCGCCGCGGAGCCGCCGCTGACGGGCGCGGTGCGACGACGGGGTTCCCCGCAGGTCCTGCTCGTGCTGACCTTCTGGCGCTGCTCGGTTTGACAGGCTCCGCGGCCGGACGTTGTCCGATGCCGGGGAGCGACCGGAGCGGCGGGGGAGGGGAGCGATTGGAGCTCGCGTCATTGCAGAGGAGGGCGGCAGTCTGCCAGTCCGCCTGCGCTGGTAACGCCTGCGTTACTTCCGGGTAGGTCGCCGGGTGGTTCTCACTGGTCGTCTGCCCACTCTCGGGACTGTGCTTACCCCGGCAGCCGCCACGCCTGCTCTCCAGACGTCCAGATGCGGTGGCGGTCACCGATGCTGGCTGTCAGCGTCGGCTGCTGCCAGGCCGTCCGAGGATTCAGCGCGGCTGGCTATCACCGGCGCCGCCACTCTGACCACATCCGTGCCTTCTTTGCAGGGCTTTGCCGACTTTGCAACACGTGCTGTACGCCGACCCGGGCTTCGTCCACGCCAACGAGGTGCACCTGCGAATCGGACTGATCCACAAGGTGTGCGGCGAGTTCAAGGCGGCTTACAAACGCTTCCAGCTGGTGCTCAACGACTCCAACGAGTGCACGCTCTCCCGACACGAGAGTGAGTCAGGGGCGGGGGCGGGGTGTGGAGGCGGTTCCGCTGTGGAGACAGGGGCGTAGATGTGGGTCCGCTGCGGAGGCGGGGCGGGTCCGCTTTGGGTGGGCCGGCTCGATCGGGTATTACGCTGTCTTCCGTCTGTGTGGCCCTGGGGCTCCCAACTCTCGTTCGATGCCGTAGTCTGACCCTGACCCGGTCACTGTCCCGGCGCGGCAGTCTGACCCCTTCACTGTCGCGGTGCCACGTCTGGCCCGGTCACTGTTCCGGCGCGGCAGTCTAACCCCGTCACTGTCGCGGTGCCACGTCTGACCCGGTCACTGTCCCGGCGTGGCAGTCTGACGCGGTCACTGTTCCGGCGTGGCAGTCTGACCCGGTCACTGTCCCGGCGCGGCAGTCTGACCCCGTCACTGTCGCGGTGCCACGTCTGACCCGAGTCACTGTTCCGGCGTGGTAGTCTGACCCGCTCACTGTCCGGACGCAGCAGTCTGACCCGCTCACTGTCCCGGCGTGGCAGTCTGACCCGGTCACTGTCCGGACGCAGCAGTCTGACCCGCTCACTGTCCCGGCGTGGCAGTCTGACCCGCTCACTGTCCGGACGCAGCAGTCTGACCCGCTCACTGTCCCGGCGTGGCAGTCTGACCCGGTCACTGTCCGGACGCAGCAGTCTGACCCGCTCACTGTCCGGACGCAGCAGTCTGACCCGGTCGCTGTCCGGACGCAGCAGCCTGACCCGGTCACGTGCGAGCGCGGCGAGCAGGCGCCGTGACCGTCCGCGCCGTCGGCCGGCCGCCTCGCCTCGCCTCGCTGCAGGCCCGTTAGTTCGCCGCGGCGCTTGTGTGGGGCGGCGGCGCTGCCGAGCAGGCCGGACCGGTCCGCCGGCCTCACACGACCGCCGCCGCCGCCGCCGCCGCCGCCGCAGCCCCTCTAAAACTGGGAGCCGTCGCGTGCGGTCGCCGCCGTCCCGGGAAGTAGTGGCTCGGGACGCCCGTGACGGAACGCGAGGCACTTCTGCGACGCCGGCGAACGAAGCGCAGGGCTTTTGCTCGTATTGTTGTGGTTTCTGGTGATGATTGCACGTGCGCTGAGCTGGGGCACAGGGAAGTCCGTCACCCGTGACGTCCGCTGAAGTTCTAGTGCTCTACTGCGGCGTAGGTCGCGGTCGCCTGTTTACCGTGTACACTGTTGTGGGGGCAGATGGGCACGTGATGCGGAATACCGCGGAAGATTCTTTGAAGCAATGACTGGCCGGGCGTGCCGCTCACGTGCCGCCTAAGCGGATAGCTCTGTCCGGGCGTTATCGCTACCTGCTACTTGCAATTCACATGAGCCGCCGGACCAGCCGCGCCGAGCGTGGACTGAGGCTGGGCCGCTCCCTAGAGCTGCGGCCCCGAGCGTGGACTGAGGCTGGGCCGCTCCAGAGAGCTGCGGCCCCGAGCGTGGACTGAGGCTGGGCCGCTCCAGAGAGCTGCGGCCCCGAGCGTGGACTGAGGTTCAGCTGCTCCAGAGAGCTGCGGCCCCGAGCGTGGACTGAGGTTCAGCCGCTCCAGAGAGCTGCGGCCCCGAGCGTGGACTGAGGTTCAGCTGCTCCAGAGAGCTGCGGCCCCGAGCGTGGACTGAGGTTCAGCCGCTCCAGAGAGCTGCGGCCGCCGCCCGGCGTAAGCAAGCGCCCGCGGGTTCTCGTCGGCCGCCGCCCCCCTGTTTGGGTGCCGCTGCCGGCTAGCAACGGCGCCAGCGGCCAGCGTGCCAATAATATCAGCGACGGCCTTGACAGCGCCGATTAAATGGCCGGCGGCGGACGTAAATAGTGCCGAGATGCGGTCGGCAGCCGTCTGCGGGCCGGTGTCGGGTCAGGGCGGCGTCTGGGTGCGGGCCCGCTCCTCCGCGTGCCGGCCGGGCGCGGCTCCGCACCAAACCTGGTCGGGCGGCGCACGCCTACGCCCGGCGTTCGGCCGGCGCCCGCCCGGCCGCCGCCGCCGCCCGTGCGTGCGGCGGCCGCCGGGCGGGCACGCCCTCGGCACGCACGCCGGCGACGTCCGCCGCGCCGGCCGCCGCTTTCACCCGGCAGCGGCGGCCGCCGGCGCGGCGGGCCCGCTTTTTAATGTGGACCGACCGGACCCCGACCGGACGATGGCGACGGCGGCCGGGCGCCGATGCCGATACCCGGGCCGGCACCGGGCCGGCGCCGGGCCGCAGGCAAGGTCACACCCGCCTATGAATAGCTGACCTGCAGGTGCCTATGTGCCGGCCGGAGGGGCGGGGCGCTCGTCGCGGCCGCCCGGGATGACGTCACCGCTCGGGGGTTTGCTCGCCGTGACGTCCGTGTGTGACGTCACTCGGATCAAAGCGGCGCGCTGCCGGTCAGCGGCCGGATCCGCCGCGGTGGTCGCAGCCCGCCGGTCGGGACGGGTGGCCGCGGGCCCGGCAGCGCAGGCCGACCGGTCCCGGCTTTGCGGTCGTGCGGGGCGCGCCGTCCGCTTGTAATCCGCGCCGCTCACAGATCGTGAAACCTTTTGGCGCGAGATGCCGCGCTCCCGCCATAACAGTAAAACTCGTCACACCGGCCGGCCGCCGCGGGTCGAGGCGGGACTTTAACTCGGCTCGCTCGGCCAGGATCGCTGCCGGACATTTAAATAGCGTGGTTAATCCTCGATGCGGTGCGAGGCTCGGATCGTCATGCAATGCCCGGTGACGTTGATCGAGGTTTCCTTGCGCGTCAGTGATCCGATGTAAATGCGGAACAGGATAGTCTGTATTGGGAATCTTTGGAAACCTCCAAGGCTGTGGAGTTCCCAGAACTGGTTTTTGTTCTGTTGGTGGCCAGCATGTCCGGCATCTGTCCCATCATTTGCAGCTGACATGATACGTGCCAGCTGAGTCCTTTACAGGGTGCAGCCTTGTTCGTGCTGACGCAACACGGAGCAGTCGCATCTGAAATATCATGAATCTTATTTCGTTCTGATGCAAGGTGAACCATTTGAACCCGAAAGCGTAGTAGTAGTTTCACACCTTTGGCTTTATTTACACCGGCGTATTCTCAGAGCTTGTTGGCCCCGTCGACCACAAATCTTGCGTCAGCCGGCACCAAAGTGGCCATTTAATCAGGCGAGCCGGCCTTGTCAGTGACCGCGTGTCGTCAGTAGCCCTATCGCGGCGGTACTCGACCGCCGTAGTCCGGAAAGCGCCCGGCCCAGCCAGCAATCCCCTGACCGATAGATAGCCTCGCCCTCGGCGCCGGCGGCGGCAGCCCGTCCACCCGCTCAGTGGCGCGCCTCTCGGTCAGCGGCCGCCGGCTGACCCGTGCGTCCGTGTGTTGCAGTCCTGTTCCACATCGCGCACCTGTACGAGGTGGTCGGCCGGCCGCGCGCCGCCCGCCAGCGCTACGAGGCGCTGCTCGAGGAGGCCGGCCTCGCGCCGACGCTCAAGGACCACGTGTACCGCCAGCTTGGCTGGCTCTTCCACAGCGTCGAGGCGTTCGGCGAGAAGGCGCGTCGCGAGGCGCAGGCCGTCCAGTACCTGCAGCGGGCGCTGGAGTTCGCGCCCAAGTCATCGCGCACGCTCTACCTGCTGGGCCGCTGCTACTCGAGCATCGGCAAGGTGCACGAGGCGTTCCAGGCGTACAAGCAGTCGGTGGTCTGCAGCGAGGCCAACGCCGACACGTGGTGTTCCATCGGGTGAGCCGCGGCGGGGGGAGGCTGGGGCGAGCTCCGGTGGTCAGGCGGTGGTCTGCGGCGAGGCCAACGCCGACACGTGGTGTTCCATCGGGTGAGCCGCGGCGGGGGGAGGCGGGGGCGAGCTCCGGTGGTCAGGCGTGGGGTTGACTGGACAGGTGGATTAGCAGAGGCGTTCCGTTTCGAAGCTGTGACTAGTAGATTTGCAGGTTACGTGTTCTGAGTCAGCTCTGTTTTGCGATCCTTTATCAACCGGCACGAATTCGGTGACGTTCGCGACGAGCTCAGAGCTTTTGGAGCCATGTATCGATTCACGGGCCATGCTCCCCCGAGACACCAGCTCAATGCGACGCTTGCAGCGCTGCCTGTGTGTTGAGGCAGCGCGTCCACCGCGCGTCGATCTCGCCAGCCGTGTGACGCGCGTGCGTGTGTTTTGGTTGCCGCAGGGTGCTGTACCAGCAGCACAGCCAGTATATGGACGCTCAGCAGGCGTACATCTCGGCCGTGCAGCTGGACAAGACGCACCAGGCGGCCTGGACCAACCTGGGCCTGCTCTACGAGTCGGTGTCGCACCCGAAGGACGCGCTCGCGTGCTTCATCAACGCCTCGGAGGACGACCCCAAGCTGCAGCCGCGCATCAAGTTCCTCCAGCAGCAGCTGGCCAACGCGCCGCAGCCGGCCGTTAGCAGCAGGTGTGTGTGTGACGTCACGCCGGCCTGTGACATCAGCCGGGCGGGGGCGGCGCGCGCGCAGCCCTCCCCCCCCCCCCCCCCGCCCTCCCCCGCGGCGTCCCGAGACAGCGACGTCACGCGCGTTAACAATTGATGCACGGCGCGCCGTGGGCAGCTGAGTTGGCCGCCGGCGCGCGGAGTCGGCGGCGGCTGGGTGTGCCGCCCGGAAGTGGGAGGCGGCGTACTACGGCCGGTGGGCGGGGCGCGCGCTCTTCGCCTCCGCCGCTGCCGCCGCCGCCGCCGCCGGCCGCCGGGCAGTGCTTCAGGTGGGCCGCAGCGGGGCGGACACCGGCGCGCCGCCGCTGATGATGATGTGGCTCGTCCACAGGCCGTGCCGACTGCCGCCAATAGAAGAGGCATGGAATAAGAACACCACCACCGAGATGAGTCGAGAAACGCAGAAGCTGCAGCCCAGCCAGCAGGCTAAGATGGCGCAACAGGTGAGTGACTGGAACTGAGCTGGGCCGGTCCGACCCGACCCGACCCGACGCGACCCGACTCTCGCGCCGACGGTGAGAGCCGGCCGTGTGGACCGGCGCCGCGGCCGGCGCGACCTGACATGACCCGAGGGCCGCCGGCAGCCGGCGAGCGGCCGGCCTGCGACGCTGGCTGCCGCTGCGCTGGGCGTCCGGCACCGGCGGCCGGGCCGTGACCGCGCAGTCGGGCACGGCGTCTGGCCGGCTGTGCCCGGGGTCGTGTGGGGGTGGCGGCTAACAGGGCTCTTCGTGTGAGGGTGGCGACTAGCAGGGCCCCTCCGTGTGAGGGTGGCGGCTGACAGGGCCCTCCGTGTGAGGATCGCGGCTGGCAGGGCCCCTCCGGGTGAGGGTGGCGGCTGACAGGGCTCCTCCATGTGAGGGTGGTGACTGACAGGCCCCCTCCGTGTGAGGATGGCGGCTGGCAGGGCCCCTCCATGTGAGGGTGGCGACTGACAGGGCCCCTCCGTGTGAGGGTGGCGGCTGACCGGGCCCCTCCATGTGAGGGTGGCGGCTGACAGGTCCCCTCCGCGTGGGAATGGCGGCTGGCAGGGCCCCTCCGTGTGAGGGTGGCGACTGACAGGCTCCCTCCGTGTGAGGGCGACCGCTGACGGGCCCGTCCGTTCCAGCGCGGGTTCTCGGCGCCGACCGTATCACCGCCGCCGTACCCGGGCGGCCAAGCCGGTGGTGCCGCCAAACGGTTCAAGGTAAGGTCCTGCCCGCCCGGCGCTCTGTCGGAGGGACGGTGGACGCGATACGCACGTGACGTGACGTGCCGTGTGTTGCCCATTGGCAAGGGGGGGGGGGGTGCACCGCGCCTATTGACAGTCTTCGGAGTAGCAGAAGCCATCGTTGTTCTGGACGTGAAAGCAGACCTGCCGGGTTACGCGCGCTCTGACTCACTTGTTTTTTCGCGAATGTTTGCACGGTCTTTGAGAGCTTAGTAAAGCTCACATTATCTCAGATTCTTACATTCTGTAACCGATGGCGAGTTCGTGACGTTTACTTCCGTAGCAATCTGATATCGTGTGTTAAAATCTCGCTTTCGCTTTCAAGCGGCTGCATTAAAGCACGCCGTCCCAAAATCCTTGCATTCCATGTAATTCCATGACTGTGGGGATACCGGCTGAGCCTGGCAGCCCGGCGGCTTGCGGTGCGACAGTGGCACAGGACCGCTGTCACACGCGGCGGTCGAGCGCGGGCGAGATGGGCGGCGGTGTCCGTGGTGCGTCATGTCCCGCGGCCGAGCGAACGGCGTGTGTGGCGGTGTGTGACGCTGCCTGTGGGGTTGGTGTTCGGCGTGTGCCCGCGCGCCGCCGTCCGGCCCGACTGAGCGCCGCGTCCGCCGCCAGCCGGGCGAGCCGCTGGAGCCGGCCGCGAGCCCGGCCATGGTGCAGCAGCGCCGCACGCCGCCGCCCTTCTACCTCAACCACCAGCAGCTGCAGCTGCTGCAGTACCTGCAGAGCCAGAGCCAACTCAGTCCGCAGCAGCAGAGCCAGCTGCACCAGCTGCAGCACCAGTACAGGTCAGCTGCCGCCGCCGGCCTTCTGCTGTGACCCGTCGGGGTGTGTGGATTAAGTTCGGCGTGCTTTGATGCTCTTCCGAAGTCGGTTAGTCTCGTGACAATCACAATGTTTTGCTGGCTAGCTAGTGTTTTGTATTTTTCGGTATTGCTTTAATCTCTTATGGTATGCTGCCACTACAGAAAATGGCCCGTGAAAAGACCTTGCTTGTTTGCTGGCGGTGTGGTAACGGAGCGTTGAAAAGCATCTGGACGCACGCCGTTTAGCCCTCGTTTGGTCCGCAGATTGATGCAGCAGCACCAGCAGCAGATGCGTCTGCAGCAGCAGCAGCAGCAGCAACAGCAGCACTCGCCACGCTTCCCGCAGCCTCCGGGGCAGTCGCCGGTCCCCTACAGCCCGCAGCAGCCACAGACAGCGGCGGCGCCCCCGCCGCCTCCGCCGCCTCCGCCACCGCCGCCGCAGCAGCAGCAGCAGCCGGCCGGCTTCGTCAGCTTCGCCGGCAACGGCAGCGCCATCGCCGGCAAGGACGTGGGCAACATGAGCGAGCGCGAGCTGGCGCAGCTGCTGACGCAGAAGGACCTGGCCGCCAGCCTGGCCGAGGACCTGATCAAGCAGTTCGCGCAGACCGGCGATCTTGGCCTGGAGGCGCTCGCTGCTGCCGGCGACACCAAGCCGCTGCTGGACGGCCTGGAGTCAGCGCCGGAGCAGAAGCCGGCAACGGACGCGGCGGCGGCGGCGGCGGCCGTCGCCGAGGACGGCGAGCCGGCGCGCGCCAAGCCCCGGCAGTCGGCGCTCACACGCGCCGACCTCAAGGTGCGCGTGGAGCCGGCGCGCGCGCAGCCGGCCTTCCACATCGAGATGACGGCGGCGGACGTGAGCGAGGCGTGCGCCGGCCTGGGTGCGGCCGGCGTGGGTAACCTGAGCATCATGGAGGACGACGCGCCGCCGCCGACCGCCGCCACCGCGCCGCGCACCGTCCTGCGTCGCGACCAGCTGGTGCAGCAGACGCCGTCCGTGTTCGTCGAGAACAAGAAGGAGGCGTTCAGCCCGCAGATGCAGGAGTTCTGCCTCAAGAACCCGATCGCCGTGATACGCGGCATGGCGGCTGCACTGAAGCTCGGTGAGTGGTGGACGGTGGCGACCGAGTGGGGCCCGCTGGCTGGGCGCGGCGGCGCTGCTCACCTGGTGCCGGCTGCAGGAGGATGGTCTGGTGGGCTGTTGTGGCAGCTGTCGTGTTCGCTGGGAAAACCGCGGCGGGGCGGGTGGGCTTCCAGCCTGTTCTGTGGATGTTTCGGCTGGGCGCTGGCACATGTTCACTGATTTTATGCTGCGACGTAGTATGGGACCTTTTAAAATATGCTCTGCATCAGATGTTGTGATGCAGAAGGAGTTTGAGGGGCAAGTTTGCTAAAGTTTTCGAAAGATGAGCGAGGAAGGGCTGTGCTGGGTTGTGGGAGCGGTTTGTATGAACCCGTCCAGAGCGCTGCGCAGTGTATCCGGTCGCGAAATGCATGCCACAACTTTTCAGGAATATTCTCAGTGTTATGAGCACGGACCAGACAGAGGCTTCGTCAAAGGAACCGGCTGCACTACCATACCCTCCCTGGCCTTTATAGGGCGGGGAATAGATGTTTATTTTAATAATTGATCTATTCCTCCAAAATCTTAAGGACGAGAATGTTGACATTTTCCAATTGCATCATTTTTTCACACTTGCTGCGAGTCACGGCGTCGCGTTTCTGTGGCCAGAACTGCCGCCGTATTTTGGGCATCGGAAAAAGGACACCGTGGCTACCGGTTTGCGGAAATGTGGTCGATCATGGTAGAATCAGTTACATGCGTTTGTCATCAGTTGTGGCATTTCCTTCTAAGCCGGTATGAGACGCCACAACTTTTACGCCCGTCCTTTCTAACTGACCTTAATTGGTCCGGTTCCTTGAAAGGTAAGTGCGCGTCTTCCCACACCATCGCCGCCAAAGCGGGCCGTGTTTGCCGCTGGGTGAGCCGTGCGGCACGCGCTGTCCACGCCTGACGCCGGCGCCGTCCGCAGACCTGGGCCTGTTCTCGACGAAGACCCTGGTGGAGGCGCACCCGGACCACGCCGTCGAGATCCGGACACAGGTGTCCCAGTCGTCCGACGAGAACTGGGACCCGACGTTCACGCGCAAGGTCTGGGGCTGCATGTCGTCGCGCAGCCACATGACCACGGCCAAGTACGCCCAGTACCAGGCGGCCACGTTCACCGACAGTCTGCGGGTGAGTTGGCCGACCGTCGCTCCCGGGCCGTGTCTCGGCTGTCTGGGCTGTCTGGACTGTCTGGGCCGGGCTGGGCTGTCTGGCCTGTCTGGGACGGGCTGGCGAAAGGCACGGGAGAGTGCGCGACGTTGCGGGTGGGGTCTGTCCTTTCGCAGGCTGTGTTAATTGTGCTTGTCTGGCTTGGGTTTGCGCGCTGCCGTAATGCCCGCACCAGATGCTTCTGAACGGGGTGTCTGCGGTTCGGTGTTGACCATTCCTGGCCCTCACGCTCTGCATCTGTTCCGCCCATGTCTGCCGGTGGCCTGTAGTGGTCTTGGTCTGGCCGAATGTGGTTTAGTCGGATAAAGCGGGGTTTGGTCTGGTGTGGTGTGGTGTGGTGTGGTGTGGTGTGGTGTGGTGTGGTGTGGTGTGTGTGGTGTGGTCTGGTCTGGTCTGGTCTGACCTAGTCTGGTCTGGCCTAGTCTGCGCTGTGCTGTGCTGTGCTGTCCTGTCCTGTCCTGTCCTGTCCTGTCCTGTCCTGTCCTGTCCTATGCTCTCTAGAACGTCAGGGTGGTGCGCCTGCCGGCCGCCGCCATCGCCCGTGACGACTGTGGACCCACTTGAGCGCTCACACGTGGTAGCTGGTCGGACCGCGCGCGCTCTATTTGTTTGGATTGCATGTGTAATGCGTCGCTGCCGGCCGGCGGCCGGCGGAGCTGGGCGTGAGACGGCTGGCCTCGCGTACCGCGCGCCGTGGTGAGGCTGACCGCCCCCTCCCTCAACAGGAGGAGCAGGAGAACAAGACGACCACGCACCGCGACTCGGATTCGGACTCACGCGACTCCTTCAGCAAGTACCAGCGACTCGGCAAGAAGCGCGGCCACAAGACCATCAAGTTCGGCACCAACGTCGACCTCAGCGACGAGAAGAAGTGGCGGCCGCAGCTGCTGGAGCTGATGAAGCTGCCCGCCTTCTGCCGGGTCGTGTCGGCGGGCAACATGCTCAGCCACGTGGGCCATCCGATCCTGGGCATGAACACCGTGCAGCTGTATATGAAGGTGAGCGCGCGCTCCTACCGTTCACCCGCTCGCTGGTGGTGAAGGGCTCACAGTTGCTGCCGCCAGGCTAACGGCTGGTGTGGGGTGGGCACACAGTGTGTGGCCGTGTTGTTAGCCGTGTCTGAGCGGCGTGAGCTTGGCGCTGCTTGCGCGCGTCCTGTAAGTAGCGTCCGCTGGTGAAGACAGACAACGTGCGACGCGCTGCGGAGTATTCGATCAAGTTAGTCGTGCCTATGTATTCCGTGGTCTCATGTGGAATCTTATAAACGATGGGCGCCATGTGACCATCGTAGTCGGTGCGTGCCAAAGCCCAAATCATCATCAATCTCATAAACGCTTGGACGTCTGAAAATACGCTGAAATTTTTGACGCATAAAGATTAACGTGATAGTTTTCACCAGTCGGAGGTACGCATCCGCTGGCTCAATAGCCACGTGGCTAGACATTTCCTATGTGGCATGTTCTGCGGCTGCTTGGTCAGCTGACGCACCGCCCGTGACGTCTGCGGCTCAGCACCGCGATGACGTCTTCGGCGGCGCTACCGCCGCCGCCGAGACGGCGTCAGCAGGCGGGGTCGTCTCCATGGCAACTCGTACCCGCCGAGCCGTGCTCGTCACCCGGTCAGGGCTGGGCGCCGCGTGCTGTCGGCGGGCCGGGCGACTGACGTCCCGTGCTGCCTCCAGGTACCCGGCAGCAGAACGCCTGGCCACCAGGAGAACAACAACTTCTGCTCCATCAACATCAACATCGGGCCCGGCGACTGCGAGTGGTTCGGCGTACCCGACGCCTACTGGGGTGTCATCAACTCCCTCTGCGAAAAGTGAGCGCGCTGGCGGCGGAGGGCTGGTTCGCTGACGATTCCCTGCTGTTGATCTCCCAATAGCGTGATGAGACCTTTCCAGTCCACGCATTGTTCGGGAGCGAGGCGGGCATCCCGTGTTCACTGGTTGCGAACGGCCGGTTCACTCGGCCACAGTGACGTGGCGACGTGTGCTAGGCGGCGCCGGTGCCTCGCGAGACGTCCGCCGCTGTCAGCGCTTCTCGCCCTCACTTGGCCGCGGTCGGCCTGTGCGTGCCGCCGTCGCGCGCGCCGTGTCTGAGCCCCGCCCTGCCCCCCGCCAGGAACAGCATCTCATACCTGCACGGCTCGTGGTGGCCGGACATGGACGAGCTGCTGGACCACGGCGTGCCCGTGTACCGGTTCATGCAGCGGCCCGGCGACCTGGTCTGGGTCAACACGGGCTGCGTGCACTGGGTGCAGGCGGCCGGCTGGTGCAACAACATCGCCTGGAACGTGGGGCCGCTGACGGCACGCCAGCACCGGCTGGCCGTCGAGCGCTACGAGTGGAACAAGCTGCAGCGCTTCAAGAGCATCGTGCCCGTGCAGCATCTCAGCTGGAACCTGGCCCGCAACATCCGCGTCTCCGACCCCAAACTGCACCGCAGCATCAGGTGAAGGGCGCGGGATGTGTGGACTGAGGGCGAGGGGGGGGGGGGGTCGCGGCCAGGACCTACGTGGAGCGACGCGGGGGTCTGGTCCCACGGTCCGACGACATTGCAGGGCCCGGCTTTGACAGCGACACGTACGGTTCTGTGATAGGAGGCGGCGGCGAAAGCCGTAGGCTTCGTGTTTCTTCCGACAAGCATCCGTTGTTGGAGTGGCGTGATACCGATGGTATCGGCCACTTCCCGTCGCGAGTCCCTTCGCGTCTATCTCTGTCAAGTCGTGCCGTATTTCTGTCAAGTCATGCCGTGATGTACCGGCCCCAGTGATGGACCCGCGGCGCGCCACCCCCGTGAGCGGCTTGGTGGTTAGCACCGGTACGTGACGCTCCGTTCGGTACACTGTGCTGGCGTGTAGCGGACGCAGTCGTGTCGGCTGGTGTGCCCCACGCGCCGCTGAAGCCGGCCGGTGCCTGACCGAGCGGCGGTTTCAGGACGGTGCTGCTTAAGGGCCTGAAGCAGGTGATCATGATGATCGAGTTCGCCAAGTCGTGCGGCGTCGACATCCGCTTCCACGGCCGGGGGAAGAACGAGAGCACGCACTACTGCGGCGTGTGCGAGGTGAGACCGGCCTCGGGGCGGCAGGGCCGGGGCCCGGGCAGGGCAGGTCAGGGCCCAGATGCGGCGTGTCAGGCCCCGGGCGCGGCGGGCCAGGCCCCGGGCTCGACGGGCCAGGGCCCGGGCGCGGCGGGTCAGGCCCCGGACGTTGAGGGTCAGGCCCCGGACGCGGTAGCCGCGGCGCCCGCTCGGGACAGCTCGCTGATATAACTCCGGCGAACTCGGCGCGGGCGCGATGGCTGAAACTGTCCTAAAGTGGCAGGCGAGCAGCTGGCGAGCGGCAGATGACGTTGGTTGTTGCGTAATGCGCCGTTCGGCCCCAGGATACACGTGCCGTTTGTCAATCGCAAAATACGCCTAACATGCCAAACGTCGGGCAAAGTTTGTTGAAGTATTCCATCACACAAGTATTCTATCCACGAATTTTCTTCTCTAATGTGAGCAAACCACTGGTACCGAGCCCTGGCGCACAGGACCGTTTTCTGCGCCGTTATCGCCGACTCCTGACTGTTCCGCTGACACCCGGACCGTTTTCTGCGCCGTTATCGCCGACTCCTGACTATTCCGCTGACACCCGGCCCCACCCCACCCCAGCTGGAGGTGTTCAACCTGCTGTTCATCAAGGAGCACGAAAAGCGCCACGTGGTGCACTGCGTGGACTGCGCGCGCCGGCACTCACCGCGCCTTGCTGGCTTCATCTGCCTGGAGGAGTACAAGCTGCAGGAGCTGCAGGACGTGTACGACAGCTTCCAGCTGCATGTGGTAAGCGGGGCACTGACGTCGGGCAGGGCAGGGCAGGCAGGGCAGGGCAGGCAGGGCAGGGCAGGGCAGGGCAGGGCAGGGCAGGGCAGAGCAGAGCAGAGCAGAGCAGAGCAGAGCAGAGCAGAGTAGATCAAGGAAATACCGAACAGGACAGGACAGGGCACAGTACGCAGGATACAGGACACAGGAGAATGGGAGGCAGGGTACGAGTGCACTGGGTGCTATATGGCCGCGCAGTCGAAGCGCCCTAAAACCCCAATTGTCACTGCGACACGGGTGCACGAACCTCGCTTCACTGTGCCTTGAGGCACTGGTCGTGGCTGGGTGGTAAGGTTCGCTGTGTGCGGCGACATCGGACAGGTCCGCTGGGGAGCTCGACCTTCAGATCCGGTCCGTTTTCTCTATCCGGGCACGAGCTGATGTGCCGACCGCTCGGCCCAACGCGTGGAGACGCCGGGTCCTCGCGTTTGGAGACGCCGGGCAGACGAGGAGACCGCCGCCCGGCCGGAGCGGAGAGCGCTGGCGCCCCCCTCCCCCCCAGCACGGCGTCATCCGCCGAGGAGCTGTAACGCCCCCCCCCCCCCCCCTCCCGAGAGCCAGCCAAACGTCCGCAACTGTGCCGTTCGGGTGGTTGTTGCGAGGTATCGATCGTGGCTGGTTACCCCTCCCTCCCCCTTTGCTGGTTAGTGTCTGGTGACGCTGCCTGATGCTGACCATCGTCTGCGAGCGCCCGATCATGGCCAGTAACTTCAGCTTTGCGTCCGGTGGTGTCCGTTGATCCACGTCCGTTCAGTGACGCCCGTCTGGCGCCCAGTGGTGTCTTCTGATTCTCTCCAATGTCCGCTGACGCTCGTCCAACGCCCGGTTGTGTCTGCTTACCTTCGTCCATTGCCCGGTGCCGTTCGTCCTACACCCTACTACACCCTACACACTACACCAGCGGTGTCTGCTGACCCTTTCCGTGTCTGGTGGCGCCTGTCCGGCCCTCAGCAGCGTCCGCTTCCCCCTGTTGTCTGGTGACGCCCTTCCGCTCCCCAGCAGCGTCCGTTGAGTTCCTCCGTTGCATCGCGACGCCGGTCTGACGCCGCGCCGTCCTCCGTTTCAGCCGCCGATGGCGCCACCGGCGTGACCGGGCCGGCGGAGTCCCGAGGAGAGCGGCTCTGGCTTCGGCTCCGCCCCGCCGCCTGCCCGCCACTAGCAATATGACGTCTGCCCGTCAGCTCACTGCCAATCAGCGGGGCCCGCGCGACGCGCGCCCCTCCCCCTCAATACCACTGCCATTAGCCGTCAACAGTCCACCAGAGTCTGCGATGATCTCCCGGTCTGCCATGTCCCGATCACGCCGTGTGATAATGGTTTAGAGTCACCGCCGGCCTGCTGGCCGCGGCTAGTATCCATGGCGGGCACGTTCCCATTATGTACATGCGTGTATATATGTAGATGTATATGGGTGGAGATTGTCACGTCATTTGTAAGTAAGCAGATAGTATTTATTTGACATATTCTCATCGCCATTGAGCAGGATGTTGCCCGTGCCGCGATCTCGAGGGTACCACAAAATAACGCATGTTTACGATGAAAGACATGGATAGCGTGCAGCGTTTTTCACGCCAGAATGTTTATTCTGACCGTTTCTGTTGTGTGTTCGGTTTGTGAGAGCGGGAGAGCGCCTGTGCCGTCGCTGCTGGGAGCGCCTTACCACAATGCCTGCCGAACGGCGGCCGGCGGGAGCCTTCATTCAGTACACTCGGCGGGGTTGCACCGCTCTACCTCAGTCTGACGACGCTCCGCAGGCACCCTCGCCGCCGCCCCCTCTAGAATAAATATATACTTTGACTATGTGATCGTGTGGCTGTGGTGTGGTCGGGCGCCGCCGGTGGGAGGTGAGAAGCGGCGGTGATGCGTCGGATGCTGTTGGGATGGACTCATGGAGGAAATGGAATCCGCTGCTGGGCCTGGTCAGGGCGGCTGTGGGTTTGTCAGAGTGATCGGCGCCACTGGAGTGGGACCGAGGCATGGGGCGCGTTTGCAATTGCCGAAGTACCTACCCGAGTTGCTACCTTTGAGGCCACAAAAGCCTACGTCATACATAAGCCACTACACTCCAAGCCGCAGAAACTGCTTTAACGCACCTACCTGTGACGGCATGAAAGGCAACTTGCAGACAGCGTTTGACAACGGGGAATGCGGCCTTTAGCCCAGTTCGTCGTCAACGTACGACCTGAGCCTAGCCCACTGAGGTAGCGTCATAAATATGCGCCAATGAAGAATGCCGTCCCATAGCGACATTCAGCGCGCAGGAATGGCACACTTGCATACTCGGATAAACAGCTATTGCCAAGTTCTCTGACTAAAAACATCATCAGTCACACTATCCACATATGGTCGAGACATGCTTATTTGGCGGACATGCAAGACTCAATAGTGAATCGATCGCTGTCAGGCATTGCTGTGTCAGCATCCATGTATGTAAGTTTGCCTCTCGGCCGAGCAGGGAATGTGCTGGTGGCCTGACGTCATAGGTAAAAAATGGGTTCACCCCTAAGTAAGGCATGGACTTGCCCCGAATTAAGGTACGCGCTTCCATTGACCCCTGAGGAACGGCGCCAGTGGAGATGGCTCGGCTCTACCCAGTAGGCGGTGCTCTGACCGGATCTGGGACGGTCAGAGGTGGTCTGGGTGTTGTTTGCCAGACGAACTACTTTTCACCGCCCAGAGCGATGTGACCGACGAAGTCGAAGCTAGACAAAGTGTCGTGGTGGTGACGTCTGCAGCCGGCCGCAGACCCGGTGTTACAGTATTCGCTGTCCAAGAGGATCGGAGGCTATCGACGCTCTTTCACCAGGTGACCGAACGTCGCACGACGTGTCTGTCAGCTGACTCGTGTGTGACGGCCAGATGGTGCCGTCCTTCCTAGAGACACCTTCCCGGCAGTCGCTGGAGCCACCAATGTCATCACAAATTCCTGGCGTGCCCCGCGAGAAAGGCGTCACATCGCTTGGCAAATAGCATAGTCGGCAACATGAATCTCACAGCGCATGCAGCATGGTTGTGTTGCCTCACAAGTGCCGACAGTCAACGCTGCCAATTTTAGCCGGTCCCCATCCTCTGATTCGCGACCTTATAGCGCTATAGGCTAGCCCATTGGCGACCTTAGGCTTGCCCAATAGCGCGGAAGAAATGCGCGTTAAGCGTGCAAGTTTGAAGGGGACAGAACACAGCACCATCAGTGACGAGGAAAAGCTGACACTGAAAACCCCATTCATTTGCTTCATAGTCGTTTTACCTGTGTGATCCGAAGCCCTCCCCCCCCCCCCCCCCCCCCCCCCGCCTTGTCTGCCCTGTAAAGGCTCAGTCGCCCAAATGTCAGGGTATGATATCTGTAACACTTTGGCTCAAAGAGAAGACAAACAGCACCGATGGAGAATAATGGCAAGTGACCTTTCATAGATCGCCTGCGCACAACGTCCTACCCATGACGACGCAGGACGCAGATGGCACCTCCATTCGGAACGTTCAGGACGTTCCTGAACACACCCGTTTGCTGCCCTCGTCTTTGCCGCCGTCTCGCAAGCTGGCCCGAGCTGTACCGGCGCCGGCCCAGACTGTGCCAGCCCCGGTCCGAGCTGTGCCGGCCCAGGCCCAGACTGTGCCAGCCCCGGCCCGAGCTGTGCCGGCCCCGGCCCCAGGCTGTGCCAGCCCCGGCCCAGGCTTTGCCGGCCCCGGCCCCAGCTGTGCCGGCCCGAGCTGTACCATCACCGGCCCAGGCTGTGCCCGCCCGGCGAACGGCGCCGGTACAGCCTGAACCGGTCCGACGCACCACGGACGGCCCCCGCCGGCAGCGCATTAACGAAGCTGACGCAACACCAGCCGGCTGCCAGGCCCAGCCCGCCGCCGTTGCGCCAACGCATGCGGCGCACTTGTACTTCGCACTGCACCACACGGTGACCTGTCAGTGGCGGCCACTGACCCCGTCTGTGTGCGGGATGGGAGGGGCGGTGTTGCGTAAAACTCCCGTTCTGCAGGACTTTGTGCCGAAAAACTGCGGTCTAATGGGGGTACATTATTCTAACTTTGCACGTTCCTTTCGCAGCGCTCCCGCCCCTGCGTCTGTCCGCAGCTGGAGGGAGCCGTGTGGCTTCTGATTATGTTGCATGACAAGCTCCATACCTGCTCAGATGGTATTTTAAACTCCACATGAAACTTTTGAGTAGCCGTGCCACAACGTAGCGGGCGCTCGTTGCGACAGAAAAGTACTCCTGTATCAATGATGCCTCAGAAATAGACAAGTTACACAGCGGCAAGCAGAAAACCGGCCAGCCGTCGTTATCAACATGACGCTGTCAGCAGCGAGAACATTGTTCCGCTAATCGTACAGATCTGTGTGCCGGACAGCACACCGCCGTGAAACTTGTCGGTCCGGCCGTGTTCAGTGGTGGATCGTCGACCCCCCTCCCCCCCCCCCCCCTGTGTCCGATGGGTTCGCGGACGAAACAAGACACGACTCGGGCCGCTCTCCGCGTGCCCAGCCTCAGCGGACACACGCATCTGCGCACGCGAGGTCAACCCGCGACACCGACACGGCCGTCACACGCCGTGCCTGAGACGACGGTCGAGCGCAGGCTCTGCGCCTGTCCGCGGAGCGCGCGGGTGACGTCCTCGGTCGTGACGAGAGTCGACTTGTTCGGCGCACCGCGGCAGTCTGCGCTGCGGCGTCGCGCCGCGTGGTCGCCCTCCTCCAGCCAGAACCGCGCCACTGTTGTCAGTTCGCTGTACGCTCCAGAAGTCCGGCGGTGACTCACAGGTCTGGCGCAGCCGAGTACAGACGGCATTCAGCCAAGTCCGTTACACATAGCAACCGCTCCGCTCGGAAAGAAACAGCGGACGTGTTGCTTATATTTCACAGTTAGCGTGCACGTCTCAAAAACAACGCAGGCACCGAGCGTTCTCGTAAATCACCTACCGATAACTGCTGTGGCGGCAGTCCGGGAATGAATACATGGACCGTGCTCCACGCGTCGTGAAAACACAGCAGCCACTGCAAAAAATCAACAATAATCGCCGGTGCTAGCGAGGCGAGCACGCTCTTGGTTACGGATTAGGTGCATGCGGACCGAGAATTGCAGCTGGAATTTAGCCAGTGATAGGTGCATTGAGACAAGGAAGGAAATGTAGGCATAACGACTCCGCTGAAAACTTATAGGTTTCGCCAAGCACGTATGTGTTTTTCCTAAGCCCTTAAAGATCATTTTGAAGAGGAAACTAAGACAAATAAGATAGCCTGGTTACACAAAACATGCATTTTGAATGACGTTAAGCCTTGATGAAGACCGTAGATTTGCCCACTGAACACATAAATACCGAAAGATTTTCTGAGACCACACTCCGGCCAGTCACGTCTCCGCCCGTTTCCCGAGCCGGCACCAGCACCGCCGTTGACGTCCACAGGTCTGTCTCTCTCACCGCCGCTGTCGCGAGCTCCTCAGCAGCCCCGGCCCCGCGAGGGACTCCCGGGGGCGCGTCACACCGACCCGGCCGCCGAGGCCGCCCCATTGGCGACCCCGACGGCCGGATCTCGCTCACCTCAGCGGCGGTCGGCCGCCCCGCGCCGCCGGCCACCTCTAGCGTCCGGCGGCGTTCGCGGGGCGTTTACCGGCCTCAGCCGCCGCCGGCCATGGGCGGCGGGCCGGCGGCGCCGGGGCCGCAGCTGAAGCCGCCCATGCGGCGGCGGGGTGCGCCGCCGGGGCCGCCCGGCCCGCCCGGTCCGCCGCGGCCCGGCGCCCGGTAGTCGGACGTGTAGCCGCTGCCGCGCTTGTTGTCGTCAGGGCTGATCAGCGTCCGGAAACTGCGCAACGGAGGCGGGGTCAGCGCGAGGGAGACGGGGTCAGCGTGAGGGAAGCAGGGTCAGGGTGAGAGAGGCGGGGTCAGCGCGAGGGAGGCGGGGTCAGCGCGAGGGAGGCGGGGTCAGCGCGAGGAGGCGGGGTCAGTCGCGATGGAGACGACGTCAGCGCGAGGGAGGCGGGGTCAGTGCGAGGTCGGCCATGGTCGACGACACGGAGCGGCACGGACACCGAAGACGACCAGCTGGTGCAAAGAGTCATATCCAACGAGGACAAATACCACATCGACAAAAGCAGCGGATTTTCGCGTAACAGTAATAGAATGATTAGATCGATTGCGTGTTAAGCCACAACATAATTTTTGGAACAATCAGCGGCTGGTGGACCCTTTCACGCTCTTGAGACAGCACCCAACGTCTTTCATCCCTCCATGAGTCGTTGCGTCCTCAACAGTCCCCCTGCAACGACGACCAACTCATCCGCGAGCGCGGCGCCGTTGTCCGCCCAATGCACTTTTCCCAAGCGGTGCACTCTGCAAACTGTTTTCGCTAGAGCAAGTTGAAAGATAGGATTTGTGACATCGTCGTGTACTTCATCTGCTCCTAGGTCTTTGTCAGTACACCGTACAATTCTAAATCTTGCAACGTTGTGTTTTGGCTGCAAAATTACCTGATAAACGTGTTTTCCTCAAGTTTGAAACTGGCGCGTTTAATCCTCTGGTCGATTTATCATGGAATGGCCTTGCAGCAAGTCAGTATAAATATGCATGCGATGATGAACAGAGAGAGAGGGATATTCAACAATTTGTCAGGCATAGTATATTCAAGCAGTGTGGATAAAAAATTCATAATTGCAGTAAAAAGATTCCTTATGCATCAACCAACAACCAAAACACCATCCCACAAGCTTTGTCATGTTAAGACAGTAATACAATGGCCACTACTTACAACAGCTGGAAGAAGTTGACTATGGCCCAGAAGAAGCCCAGGAGGCCTTGCACACTGAAATAGTCTCTGCTTCCCCCAACTGTGCCATCTGAAAAACAATGCAAGGTAAGACGCCATGCCAAAATGGGAATACAAAACATTCATCAGGCCTGCTCACACTGGTACCAATCTCTTTCCCTGTCTGATTTTAAGATAGCCTGCAAGATCTTTGCAAGATCACACTTAACTCAAGAAGCTAAACACAACAAAGTCTGCAGCATTATACATCACTGGGAAACAGGCCAGTCTCACTCAGATCACACTGGATGGGGTCCAAGCTCTGACCCCTGTCGGGCTTGGTATGGCTGCCTTGGCTGGCTTGGCTGGGTTGCCCAAGGGCAGACTGCCAAACCCAGGAAACCTTGCTGTTATGTCAAGAGCATGACAGCAAAAGAAAATAAAACACTTTTTAATGCAACTTCCAAGAGAAAAGACTGCATTACTACCTGTCATGCAAATCTTCATTAGCTGTCCAATGGAGCCCGTGTCACCCAGGCTATTCTCTTAACTCAAGGCAGTGTCTGCTCTGGTTAGCATATCAATTCAACATGAGCAGCCAAAAAATTCAGCATACTTACATCTTCTCCCCCCCCCCAAAAAAAACACAATGAAACACTTAATGTCTATTGTGAAATTTACCCTCCAATGGGCAGATGAGTAACAGCAGAGTTCCTTCTACTTCACACTGTTATATTACCTCCTACCACAAATCTTTTACACCTGGGCCAATGGCCTATACACTATTTCATGAAGATGACCCTGGAAATGGCTGGACATGAATGTTGATGGCTGTGGGAGATCAGCAGGTGGCAACAGCACCTGATATTGAGAACAGCTGAGTCAATCTCCAGAAACCAGCTTGCCCAAAAAGTGAAGTGGAAAATGAAAGGAGATGGTTCTAATAATATATGCATGGAACTCTCCACAAAGGGCCACATACAAGTATTGCAAAAACATAGCACATGAATCTTACCTGATGATATGTATGGCATTTTGTTCACCTGCAAAACGCAAAACACAGAATTATGGGATGACAGGAGACAAGCACATGAAAACAAAGCAAACCATGATTCACCGCAAAATGGTATTAACGTAGGCCACGTCATCACAAATACGCGGGCGCGAGGGATATCCCTTAGCAGACACACGCCGCAGATGCAGGCCTTGCACTTTCTAAACCGACCGCATGAACAGTATCCAGCGAGAAACCCACACAGTTTTGATATTAATAGATGCATTAGACACTTCTAAATACTGTAAGCAGCCTCGCTTAGATCTAGGTTATATCAAATTACAATGATAGCGCTTCACCTATCACGCACCACCCACTCAACTCACACCAACAAACGCACAAACCCAAGACCTCGGGTAACACCGTCCAGTCATTCTCGCTTCATCTTTGCTTGACGCTTGCATGACGTCACTGATGCCAAAATTTGAATGACCGGCGGTCTGCTAGATACCGGATGCAATGTTGAGGGTCGATCGGAGCATCAAACTATTCGTATAGGTAATGCAAAGCCATTAACGGATGGTAGAAGTGACCTTCCGGCAGATCAAATAAAACTATATGATAAAATATGATGGGTTTTGCAAGCATATGCGACAAACCTTTAAAATACTGTGACGTGAAAAGTGAAGGTGTGCGCACGAGACTCATTCACAATAAGGCTGCAGAAACATCGGACTGTCTCTGTTCCCCAAACAAAGAGATGGCGGCATACGTAAGGGACCAACGAGCCGATTGCGTAGAATTCAGCGACGAGTATAAATAACAATGTGCGTGGGAACCTTGTCATGCCGACGTACATTGCCGTACTTTGTCCACCGCACGACGCCAAACCATATTTTATAACAAGACGCGAGGCATTTACCAGGCGCAATACCCCACGCGTATCACTCGAAGCCTTTGGTCTGTCAACGAGTATTTCATACAGTAGGGCGGCGTTTCAACAATAATTCCGTCGGAAATGATTCTGGGCGTCGCCATCTCACAATGCTGTTGTGCTGCCCGGAGACCGAACAGCGGCCAACCAGAGTCAGAGTACATGCTGCTGGAGCGGGGTTAAACACAGATCTCGCATTCGCCCCGATCGTTTCAAACTCCATGCAAAAAGCACCAGGCGTTCATTGATACATCAGATGCCCTTCATGGGCAGCGGATTCATTGGCGGTTGATCATACTTAGCCACCAAAACCACGCGTCCCAAGCGCTCGAACTTCTTCCACCGTTGCCCGTTCCAAACGCCCGCACCACGATCTTAAACCACACTGTATATTGCAACGATCTTTATTAGAAAATCGAATCACACGGAAGTCGAACGCTAACGCTAGTGGACGTGCCGGCTCGGCAGTCCAGCCGGCCGCTCGGTGGCCGCGGCGGCCGGCGGTCGGTCACAGGGGCGGCGCGCGGCGCGGTGGCCGGCGTGCGCGCCGCCCTCCGGGGGCCCGCGGACGCGCGCGAGCGTCAGCCGCGGGCGAGACGAGCCTCGAGGCGTGGGCGGCGGAGCGAGGAACAACGCACGTGCTGTATTATGGCGGATACGGTGAGGCGCCGGCGGCGGTGGCGGGCCGGCGCCCTGGTGGCGATGACGGCCGGAGTCTCTGCGACACGCTCGGTCGCCTGCACGGCCGAGCGGGAGGGCGGCCGACGGGCGGACCCGCCGGTCCAACGGGGTAAAAGCCAAGCAGCTGTCCGCTACAGCAACAATAGAGAAAGAAGGAACGACGCATTGGATACTTGGATTATTTACAACCCAGTCGCCGGGCTCACGGCGGTGGTTTCTGTTGCCAGATGCCGGTGGTTGAGAGAAATCACTTGAAGCGTGTTTGAAATCCCCGGGGGTGGTGCGAGCACAATGCCCGGCGAGACAAACGAAATAGCCTACAGCCGTAGGGTTAGTAACTACCCAACCGATGACGCCAAAGAAGGGGGATTATCTGTCTTCTGCAAGCATCTCGGCTAGCACTCACACGATATCGAATAATGCAACCGGGGGGCACGGTGCGGCGGTGGTCCGACGCCCGTTCGCGAGCGCAGCGGGCCGGCGTCGGTGGCGCCACCGGCCCGCCGGCTCTGCGGGATGGGACGCAGCGCCGCGCCCGTGCCGTCCGGTGTCCAGTGTAGCATAATATACGTAAGCGGCGGTGCGCCGGCGGCGGCGGCGACGCCGGCCCGGTCCAGTCCAGTCCGGTGGGGGTCGCGCCAGGTCCGGTGGTCGACCCGGCTCGGTGCGGACGGAGGCAGGCGTGGAGGCGCGGCGGGTTCGTCTACTTGCGGCCGCGGCGCCGCTGGCCGCGCGCGCCGCCGCCGCGGCCGCGCGGCGCGCCCTCCTCCGGCTCGCCGCCGCTGCCGGCCGCCTCGTCCGCCTCCCAGCCGGCGGCGCGCGGCGCGTCCTCCCACTCGGCGCCGCCCGAGGCCGGCTGGCCGGCCGGACCATCGTCCCAGTCAGCGGCGACGGCGGCGGCGGCGGCCGGCTCGCCCGCGCCGCCCCCGTTCGAGTGGCCGTTGTACCTGCCGGGTGGAGCGACGGTGACGGCGCGACCCGGCGACCACGATCCACAGCTCCAACCGAGGGCTGAATTTTGAGCTGGCAGGCAAATTGCTACCAACACGTGATCAACGATTGCTGCGACACTGAAGGAACTGATCTGTGAACTGTCATAATGAATTATGATAAACTGATGAATGACCACTGATGATGAACTGCAAAGCGCACTGAGATCATTTCAGCGACAGACTTTAAAGAAAACCAGCCATTGAACGAAACAATGTTGAGGTGTTACTTGCAACACATACACCTTTCACTAAGTGCGACCTCCACCAAATCGTCGCTCGGCGCCCTGTCCGACGGCGCCTCACCTGTCGCTCTTGTGATTCCTGTTGTCGCGCTGCTCCCGGTGGTCGCGGTGGTCTCGGTTGTCACGGTTGTCACGGTTGTCGCGGCCGCCGCGGCCGCGCCCCCGGCCGCGATAGGGACCACCGCGGCCCCGGCCGCCGCCGCTGCCCTCCGTGTCGACGCTGTAAGAGCGCTCCGAGCGCGAGCGTGGCGGGTAGGGCGCGCCGCCGGCCGGCCCGTTCATTGTGCGCAGCTGCTGCTCAATGTCCAGCTTCTCCTGGCGCAGCTGCTCCACCTCGTGCAGGTGCGCCAGGTGGTACTCGAGCAGCACGCGCGCCATCTCGATGGCGTCCATGGTGCCGACGAAGACGAACGGCACCAGACCCTCCTCGCGCGGCGTGGTCGGGTTGGGCTCGTTCTCACCCTCGATCTTGACTCGCACCTGGTAGTGGAGAGAGGGGGACGCTCTAACGGTGGACGTCTCCCGCGTGCGGCAGGGCACGACGATGGGAGGAGCGGGGGCCCGCGACAGACCGACTCGAATATTGCTGAGTCAATGACACAAGTCTGGATGTAAATCAGTCGTTTCTAGACAGGTGGTGTCAGCGTCAGTCCAGGAGCCAGGGCGCTCATGATACCAACGACTAAGGAAGGAATACGGCACCAGTAGGATGCTACCATCTGGCACGACCATCCAACACGCCAGCTGACGAAACCCAGCGCATAACCATAACCAGTGAACGGGGTGCAAGCGTCAGCATGTGTCAGGCGCATGACATCAGAGCCATCGCTGCAGGATCGCCCCCAGGCGCTACTCACCACGCCACTCTTGTCAACAATCTCCTGAATCATCCGGCCGTTCTTGCCGATCACTTTTCCCACAAGCTGTCGGGGAACCTGAATGGATACCTCGCTGTACTCCAGCAAACTACGCGCCTTCTTCACAGCACTCTCAGTCTGCCGGATGAGAAAACTGGTAAGTGGAGCACGTGCCTGACCGGGAAGATGACCGAGCAAACTCGATAACCATCCAGTAACCAAGCAATTCCTCGGTTAAACGTTGGCCCGTTCCGTCTTATGGTTGCCTATCCTGCACGACTCATGACACACAAGTTAAGGACAACATTAGAAGACGTTTTAGCCATGGCGCCCCTAAGCGCAGCAATCCGCCATTTGCCACACTGGATTGTAGCATGCGACGAGGAACACACGCAAACAAGAGCACATAATACGCTCATGCCACAAACTGACAATGACAAAGTCTTACCTCTCCAATGATCTTGAATGTACAAGTTTTCTCCTCCAGCTCAATGTTGGAGATGCCCTCGATCCTGCGTGCCTGCTGAATGTTGGCGCCGTGGGCTCCGATTGCTAGCCCCATAAGGTCCTCCACCACAGAGAACTCCTCCGTATAACTGCTGACACAGAACACACGCACGCCGTGATTCTGGACCTCTGCCACGGATAACTCCTCCCAATAACCGCCGACAGGGACCACGCACACAGTCAGTCTGGCCTTTAGGTTCAGCATGGTCTACAATAAGCCCTAACACGACATCGTCGTCGTGAAAATAGTTAACCATCCGCCTAGGCGAGATGGAAGATAACAGACCAAAATTCTCGACTTGTAACCCCAAAACACGGAATCATCCAAAGATAGTCATCCGCCAATACAATGCACCCATTCAAAACCGTACACAAACACACTGCACGTCTAAGAAGACCATCACCATCGTCGAATGACGTTCCTCTGAAGTTACATACCCTCTGAACCCCTGCCGCTTGAGACGCACGCCATATCTCCCATGCTAGATCACCCATGCGTCGGATCCACCAAGCATCTCAACTTGCTATTCCTGGGATGCGAGGAGATCAGGTGAGGATGCCACCCTGCTGGGGGGAGTGGGGGGCTGATGACACTAGGACGGGTCCAGGCAGAAATCCCTCGGGGTTCTCAGACCAAGGCGGCCGAACCCAGGCGTGCCATGGGCTGAGCAAGCCGGAGGAGAACAGGGTGGCCGGGGGAGTCCAGAGAAGTCCAGCAAAGACCGGGACGGTGGGGCCAGCGCGGCGGGAAGGCCAGGGCGGTTGGGTCAGGGCGGTGGGGAGGCCACGGTGGCGGAGCGGCCAGGGTGGCGGGGAGGTCAGGGCGGCGGAGAGGCTAGACGGGAGCGGCAGTGACAGGACTAGTGTAGACTGGGGAGACCATGGACGCCAGCGAGGACCAGGGGTGGGGAGACCGGGGCACACCGGACAGGCCCGTAAGATCAGACAGATGGGAAACCGTGGTCGGGGTGGGGGTTGGCGTGAGAGTGGGGGTGGGAGTGGGAGTGGAAGTGGCGGGTGGGCGTGACGGGTAGGAGTGAGGGGGGGGGGGAGGAGTGGGGCCGGAAGAGTAGGGCTGGAGGTGGTGGTGGAAGTGGCAGTGGCAGTGGCAGTGGCAGTGGCAGTGGCAGTGGCAGTGGCAGTGACAGTGGCAGTGGCAGTGGCAGGGGCCGAGGGGGTGGCGGGTGGGAAGACAGACGCATACCCGGAGCGGGACTGGGCCTTGCTGGACTCGAGGTGGCGGGACGCCTCCTGTGTCCGCGACAGCAGCAGCGCCTTCTGCTTCAGACCGCGGAAGTGCATCTCGGAAAGAATGCCGGCGCGCGTCCTGACCGCCGCCGTCCGCGCCTGAGGTAGGGGCCGGCACGAATCAAGGACCGACGCGGCACGAACGCTCAGGACTGTACAATCCCCAGCCGCTGGGACACGATAACACGCGTCTGGTTTACTCTACGACGTGCGTAAAGGCCGCGGTCATGACGGTGCAGTCTAATACACAACGTCTTGCGGTTGTAAGTCCGATGTGGTACGTCAGGCCGCGAGTCGGCACTCAGATGGCTGTGTTTACCGCCCGTGTAGCCATCAGCATCGCAACGGGAACATGATTACTTCAATGCTCGAGACAAAGGTAGAGAGACCGCAGTTAGTCCTGAGGAGATCACAAAAACAAAATGTTGAGCTGAAATGACCTTATGCATATGTTCCCTTGCTTACATGCTTGCGGACACACGTATGAGAGCAAAGATAAGAGACCCTTCCCGTGTAACGTACCATAAGGAAGATGCTGCCTCTCTCGGGGATGTATTTACAGACAGCGGCCGCACACGCTTTCTGAAATTCCTTATGTGCATTCTGTAGGTGTGCACTGAAATTGCGGGCAAAACGGCCGGTGAAAACCACGTTGACTAATTCAAAACATGCCGCTGTTAAATAAAAATACCGCAGATCAAAATGAAACCCTACATCACAGCCATCGTTAGACATGCTTTCAATGATTGACGTGAGAAAACTGCTCATGAATCAATACAGTCCGTAACATTGACACCGCAGTCGTTCGCCGCGGCTAAGACACTCGGCACAAAGGAACGCGCGGCGTGTCGGGGCCGAACACCAACCTACTGAATGGCTAGTGCGGCCTTAACAATAATATTCCATATTTCATAGTCATATTCCAACCACGAATGCCAGTTACAGCTTATGGCGGCGGCCCTACAGCACGCAAGCCAAAACATCCACGCAGCGAAAAGCCCATCGCACATTTCGTTTGAGCCACTGCTCTCATTGTTAGTACCTGCCGACGACCAACATCAGTAGCACACCAGCTGAGAGGAAGGGGAGATGGGGAAGGCCACTCACTACTCCCGCAGGTCCTCCGGCACGGAGATATCGCAGGAGTAGAAGGTACTGCTGGTGATGGGCGGGTGGGTGTTCTTGGGTCGGATCTCGTCCTGGCCGATGATATCCGTGCGCCGCACCTCCGGGCTGCCGGTGAACTCCACCACGCACCGGTCGCCCTTCACGATCTGGCGGCGGCCGGCGCGTCAGGTGAGGCCGGCGCGGCCGCGTCACGTGAACAGCGCAGCAGCGCAGCTGAAGCCGGCGCGCGGCCTCTGCACACTGCCGTGCCGCTAAACGTCGCACACAGCGTAAACGCACATTTCATGCAAGCCTAAGTGCATGCGTGGATCAATGGAACTGCTAAAAGAATGGTGTATTAAAATCATTGACAAATGATGACACTTTTTCCAAGTGTTATGGGGGGGGGGGGGACGATGAGCGCATAAAGTACATAAACATCGTGAGAGGTTCAAGACCCTCCATTATGCGAAAATTTCTCCTCATGTCACTGGCTACGCGCGAGGGGTAAGAACTGCGACATTCATGCAAGTAAGCCTTGGAAGGCATTGTCCCGGCTCTGAGGGCCTCTGACAGGCCTCGCCCCTACTCAAAAGGCCTCTGGTAGGCCTCGTCGCACCTTGATGACAGCCAGATGCCAGCCGAACGGAGAGTCCTCCTTGAGTCGGGCGAACACCTCCACCTCGTCACCCTCGGCAGGTGGCGGTGACGACTGCTCGGCCGACGGCAGACGCACGTGCTGCAGAGGGGCGTCCATCTCCTGCAGCTGGCCACTGGTGGTGCCGAGAGGTCAGGTCACGTCAGGTCAGGTCACAGTGAGCTACGTCCATCTCCTGCAGCTGGCCACTGGTGGTGCCGAGAGGTCATGTCACGTCAGGTCAGGTCACAGTGAGCTACGTCCATCTCCTGCAGCTGGCCACTGGTGGTGCTGAGAGGTCATGTCACGTCAGGTCAGGTCACAGTGAGCTACGTCCATCTCCTGCAGCTGGCCACTGGTGGTGCCGAGAGGTCAGGTCACGTCAGGTCAGGTCACAGTGAGCTACGTCCATCTCCGGCATCTGGCCACTGGTGGTGCCGAGAGGTGAGGTGAGGTGAGGTGAGGTGAGGTAAGGTGAGGTCAGGTCAGGTCAGGTCACGTCACGTCAGGTCAGGTCACAGTGGGCTACGTCCACCTCCGGCAGCTGGCCACTGGTGGTGCCGAGAGGTCAGATCACGTCAGGTCAGGTCACAGTGAGCTACGTCCACCTCCGGCAGCTGGCCACTGGTGATGCCAAGAGGTCAGGTCAGGTCACAGTGGGCTACGTCCACCTCCGGCAGCTGACCACTGGTGGTGCCAAGAAGTCAAGGTCAGGTCGGGTCACGATGAGATATGTCCACCTCCGACAGCCGGTCACGTGGGTAGAGGTTCGCCGAGACGCGTTCGCGACTGGCAATTGGCCACAACGGCGCGTATAACGCCAGATCAGATCAGCACACAACGACAGGTCTTACTGCGACAGCGGGCCACCTGTGCGGCAGATGTTACGTCAGGCCACAGTGGGTCGTCCTCTAACATACCTGCCGTCCACCGACCAGGTGAACAGACACCGAACACCATGCCACTACCACTCACGACGACTCACTACAACAGCTGGCCGCTGGTCAGGCAGAGCAGGGGGGGGGGGGCAGAGGTCAGGTCAGCGGCTATCTTCGGAAGTTGGTCACCGGTCGGGGGATGACAGGCGCCTCATGACCCGCACTATCAGCACTGATCAGGTCATTGTGAGTGACGGCCGTGCCAGCCCACAAGGAGACAACTGCATCCCACAACCGACTTCCAAGGCAGGCTAACGTACAAACCAGGCGGGGGCGGGGGCTGACAAGAGGCCACCAAAAGTGTTTCCGACCCTAGTTTCTTGGACATTTTGAATGGCAGAGCCTTACAGCTTCGCTCTTTTTCTTACCATCTTTTAAGTAGCAGTCTCAAAGTTCCCACAACATAAAGCTGTCGTTGGATGTTCCACAGCATTTTTGGCAAGCACGTCCAAGAGGTTCGGTGTGTTACCCTACACCGGCCGTCCCAGCAAGATCTATCACCTTATGTCGGGCAGGAAGTCTGCTTATTTAAATATGAGATGTTCACATGACGAATGGCCATAAATATGACGAATCATAGCAGAATGATAAGCAGGCCCAGGGCGCACCATTTCGAGGCAGTGGCATCTGAGTTTTATCATAGTAGAGTGGTGGTTAGAACAGCTTTGGTACAGTTAGGATCGGTACAGTTGCAGAAATGGGTCGCTCACCTTCAGAATATTTATGGTATTAATAAGTTTTGAATATCGGGTGATAGTTAGGCCCTGCCTTCCAAAACCAAGATGATGGATTTGAGAAAAAAATGAAGCATTTCAAAGCAAGCCTCACCTTTAATGTTTTTCCCAAAATGCCGAGCTTCACCTTTAATGTTTTTCCCAAAACACCTCAAAGGTGTGGTTGTCAGAATCATTATTCATTTCTTATTCATTATCAATATAATCCACGTATTACACCCGCAACTATGATGAAATAAAAAAAGACCTGAATTCAATGTTTTTCCCTGTCAGTAGCCAAAATACCAGTTTTGTGTTCTGATTTGAAGATTGGTGAGTTAGACCATGAAAATTTGTTTTGACCACTTGTAGCTAACCCACATTTTGAGATCAGCAACGGCACTGGGGCGGGGGGGGGGATAGCAACATACACAAGGAAAAGAACCACTCACAATTCATGTCCCCAAGATTAGTGCAGGATGGTATCAACCAAATAAGTACTCCTGTCGCTACATATGATAAAAGGACCAGATGCACCGATAGCGATATTCAACCTTCCCTGTTATGTACAACATCTGCACATATGCAACACAACCAGTGTGCTACATGGTCGCATACATTACTGGATCATCCCTCACTCAATCAAAGATGGCATAATTACATCACTTTTGCATGTCACATGACAGTCGTTATAGCTGCATGACGTACCGCACGGCACCTCTCATTAACCACGCTCAACGCGCGCACCGATCGCGAGAACAGAACAAAACCGTACTTACTCATCAAACTTCACCCGCACCGAATCTGGTCTGCAAGCATCGATGACAGATGCCTGTGGCAGGGCAAACAGGCATTAGAGCGCCTACCGCCAGCGGTTCGACCGACAGCAGTTCACTATCGTCGCTGAATCAACAGCGAATGTCGGGGCCGATAGCAAGAGCGCCGGCCGCAACAGCTGATTGGCAATGTGTACGTTGCAGACCATGTTAAAACACGTCATGCGCGGAAAACGGAAGCATGCACAATGAACATACAATGGAAATGCAGATCACACACGGGATACAGCGCGACGCACGTGCAATGGCAATATGGTAATCTATACAAAGGTCTGGCCTCATCTATCCTGAAATAGGCCAACTGCTGCCATTTGTGTTCATGGAAGGCACCAGTTCCCGAATGAACACCGTTTTTTTTTAAATCCCTTTCTATGTGCCCAAGACACTTGCGCATTTTCTCGAAGCTGATATGTCAAATTACATCAAATTCGTGATGGGTCCCAAAATGAAGCCCATCGTGTTTGAATTACATGCACCCCTATCAAAAAACCTTTCACACGCTGGCATGGGCGGATCCAGAGCGCAGCCTTGGGGGGGGGGGGGCAGTTTGGCTTAAGGGAATACAAAAAGGCCCCCTGAAAAGACACATTGGTTTTGCCACAATTTACCCCGAGGGACAATGTAATGTTACAAATCAAACATTGCTAGTACAAGCAATCTGCATGATTTTCTTCCAAGTTCAGAAAAGCGTTGTTTTTTCCCAGCACGGGCCATCTTGGGCGGTGGAGCCATGAACTGGTTGCCCCCCCCCCCTGGATTCGCACTTAAGGACCGGACGAATGCACTCTCCTCTGCAGATGACCCAACAGAGTGCATGTGATTTGGTTCAATGCATTGTTGGTGGAGCAAGTGCTTTTAAGTCTGCTAGCATGCCGGGGTCCTCCCGTCGATCAGGAACCCTCCACAGATTCTTTGCATTTGCCCAAAATGCTCTTTATGCTATAGCCAGGGGCCCCATCTGTCAACCGGCCGGGGTTCTCCCAGTTGCTCCGAGGCCTTTCACATTGATCTCGGTCAACCTTCAGGCACACTCGCGATATGCTAATGTGATTGCCGGGCCCTACACCCTTGTCCGGGGCCCTGAGCTGCTCGGGCCAGTGGTGGCTCCAGAGGGGGGGGGGGCGCAGGCCATGCCCCTGGCTTCAAAGAGGCCCATAACCAGGCGAACGAACACAGTTATGACAAAATTGGACTCTTGGCCTCCAAGCAGCCACTTACAGTCACAAGCAAGGGTGATAAGCCAGTGAGTAGACAAAAATAATTCTTCACTTATTGAGAGGGTGGTGATAAGGGGATGTTTTGTGACTCATGCTGTTGAGGGGCCCCACATTGCTTCCAGGGGTCCTATATGTAAAATTGCTGTGCCACTTTGATTGCTAAGGACCCTTCCATGTTGCCCTTGATCTCTTTGCAATTTCTCAGAGTCCTATGATGCTATTGGGGGCACCATCTGTCATGATATTCAGAGGCACAATGTTGTGTATGGGGCTAGCATTCATTTAAAGAAGCATTAATGCATGTAGCATAGTTGACAAAGGGTACACGATATGCCCTGTGCACCTCCATATGAAGACACATCAGATTACAGAAAATCATCATAGAGTAGTGCAAGAATCATAGCTGCCTTAAACTACCAAAAAGTTTATCAACAAACTTTTGTCCACAAGCAATGCTCACTGTATGCCCATGCCCTGTCCTTAATGTTGTAAGAGCTGGTAGCTAAAACATGCCATTTGAAAACACAAATATTGGTCTGGCTAATGCCGCTGGCTTCAAATTATCCTAGCAATATATGTTACCTAGTTGTTGTTGGTTATAATATTGATTGATAACAAAAGTAAACACACTTCTGTGCATGTGTGGAAAGTTCTATCCTTTGGGAGAACATGTCCTTCTAAGTATGACTTGTATAGAACATACATACCTGCCCTCTTTCCTCACACTGAATGCCATTTTCAAAGTTTGACTTCTGCAAGCATATGGCCAATAATTATGCCATTTTACTATTGGATATCCCAACCTTAGAAGGACAACACTGACAGAACAAGCAAAGTTAAAATGGCATCCATAAAGAGCCTCATATAATTTACAGATGTGAAACATGGATGGTAAAGAAAGGGGCGATGTTCTCACAGCATGCACATTCTTTATTGTTTCCTGGTACTCTCTAGCAGCTTTTAAGGAATTCTGGGGTCACATGGAAAAGACCAAGTCCCTACAACCTTGAGGCATACAAACCTGCAAATAACTTTAGATGTGCTCTTAGGTAAGCCAGGCAGTTATTTCATATTATGAGGCAAAATGTCAGGGAAGATCATAAATACTAAAATTGCCATGTTAATTAAAACATGAATAAATTGGCACAACATAAAAGGTTAGATCCTTACCAGGAGAAATACCCAGCCATTTCTTTTTGGGCAGCAGCATACATCAGCCAAAAGGTCACCTTCCAATTGTGCTTCAGGTGGACCTCCACCTAAGTATATTTTAATCATTGAATTTGCCTAACAAATGACTGTGATATCATAACCCTATCTGCATTTATATCTTATTATCACATTTTCCTTTGAGGGTCTTAACAAAATTAAGCAGGACTAAGGCAGCAGGCTTCTTTACACCTGAAACTATAATATCTTGTAATTTTGTATAGCATGAGCACTGGCAAGAGAGCTGGAAAGCTATGCTATTGAAACTAATTGAAAACCAGATGAAGCATGGCCACAATGAGCCACAGGTGCCCTTCTAATTTGCACTATTACACCTGAGTATAAGAGATCTGGTAAGTGTAATTATCCAGTTATCTGATGCTCAGGTTGTGAAATGTCCTTTTTTGGATGTATCCATAGAATTGGTGATAAAAAGATAAACACCAACGACCATCTTTTGGAAAGTGCCATGAACGTTCATACAGATACTAAAATGCAAATTTCATAAGGATGTCATGCTTGTACTGCACAGGACACAACTAAAAATTAGGAACGGATTTAGTGACATTTTGAGGTGAATGCCTTCAAAACCCTCATGATTCTTGACCCATTGCATTACAGGCATGGTACCCAAGTTAACAAGCTTCATGCAAGCATGATACAGTTCATGTGGAGACGTAAGGAAAATCAAATGAGCATTGATAGCCTTTGGTAAGCCGTACAGCTTTTATCAAAAAACGCGATACGTGATTCGCATACGCATTTCAAGGCGGTGCCGGGCCATCGGGAGTAAGGCGCACGTGCGTCATCTTTGCCGCAGCACACTGAAAACCGTCTTCCATGCCTTTCTGCGCGTTTTGAAGGCATTTGGACGCTGTGAAAGGTTACACAATTAAACTAATATGTCTGCGCTACAACTTCTGCCTGAAACTCACCTTATAGTATCCACCATCCTCCCTCCGCACCTCCACGGCAAGTGCCTCCATCTTGAGTGACACGCTCGTTCACTCGATTGCTATAAGATGGCTCTGGCATCGGACAGTGCAGTACGGTTAAAAAAGAGAACGTTTTTGATAATTTTCCTAGATTCACCGGGTGCTGCAATCCCATTCCGTCACCAAACGTAGTCCTGAACTGTTAAGTAGCCAGCATTTCATCCAGGTGACAGCCAAATTTGGGCATAAGAATTGGGAACCCCAATTGACCGTCACAAAGGCACGATTAATGAATTCCATTCGTTTTCATCGGCTCGGGATCACATTTTGATGGATCGAGACATGACTGAAGATCCTGTGGGGCTCGGGGGGGGGGGGGGGGGGGGCAACTCCCACCCGACCTCGGACCCCAGAAAAGCAGAAATCTTGGGGTCTGGGGTCAAGGATCTTTTGGTACGGCTCTATTTGCCTCGAACAACTTGATGAAAGTTGTGCGTACTGGTTGAGCAATACTCCAAAAGAGTTTCGGTGGCAGAATAAAAGTTCAGGCAGGAAAAATTGCTCCATTTAGATGCTCAGTAATTCCCATGGTAATTCTTGGCTCTCTGGCCATTTAGTGCACTCTTTCTGGCCACCAAGAGCACAATATTCTCAGGGTCTTGGGTGCTCAGGACCCCTCTGGCCGCTCATGGACCACTTTAGCTGCTCAGGGGTTTTCGGGCCACTGGAGGGCCAAGCGGGCTATTGAGACGCCCTAGCCAGAGGCGTTCCCCTCTAACTGCTCAGGAGCTTTACTGGCTACCAAGGATCCCTCTGGTGATCAAGGGCACAACCTGATTATTCAAGGGTCTTTCTTGCCACCAATGCCACCTCAATATCTTGTCTGCATGTCGAGGGCCTACTGGCCTCTCAGCGGCCCATCTGGTCGCCAGAGTCGCTTAGCTGTATCCTTACGACCATCTGGGTATCGGGCACCGGGTACTGATGCTGGTTTCACTGGGGCTTTTGACAGCTCAAAGGCCCTCCTACCGCACAGTGGCGCAGGCAGGGGGTACAGTGGGCACGTGCCCCTTCCCCTCTAGTTTCCGAGAGGCCCCTCGGGAGCCGTGATTAAGAGTCCGATTCGAGGACATAAAGGGCTCGAAAGGCCGACCAGAGGTCACATTTTGGGGGCTCGGCTCGCAGGGGCTCTGCTCGCTGATCAAGGACCCCTGAATCGATAAGAGTCTACATGTCGGTCAAACACCACCAATAGCGAACTTTTGGCTCCGTGTCGCCATTGACCTGAGGGCTTATTTCCCAAGCGCTTCCCATTTCCCAGACAGAGCTCTGGGGCCCATTTCCCAAGCAGGACAGGACCGGGCCAGCGATTTACATTGGTCGAGGCTCTAGCGTCTGTCACGGCCCCCACAGCCCATAACAGGAGGCCCTGTGTTGGCAAGGGGTTCCGAGTCGGTCAGAGACAGTGTTCGAGGCGGCAAAAAAGTCTAGCGGGCCCACCGGGACCGACGACCAAGGGCCCGATTGAAGGTCCTTGTATGAAGGACACGAAGGACTGGTCGGAGTCTTATTCGGGGGCTCGGCCTGCGGGTACGCAACCTCAGGGGATTCAGGGGACACAGTGAGGGGCTCCTGCGTCGGTCAGAGGCCACAGTGCCTGACAAGTGTCCTGTGGCGGCAAGTGGTCCCGAGTCGGCCACGACCCGTGGTTGAGGGGGCCCTGTATGGACTGAAGGGTCTCCCGAGACCAAATATCAAGGGCCTAATTAAAAGGCTGAATGGATCGAAGGGCTGGCTGTAGGTCACATTAAGGACCGCCGCCCGTAGGGCCGTGGTTTCAAATATCAGTTAGGGACCTCTTGCACCGATTGGGGATCTCTGAGACAGTGCGTTTCTCTATTGCGGTCAGAGATCGCCAACACTGAACAGTCGGGTCCTCATCGGTCTTAGCTCTGGAACCCATTTCCCAAGCAGGACAGGGCCGGGCCCGCGATTTACATTGGCCGAGGCCCCCTGCAACAATGCAAGGCTCCTGTATCGGTCAGGGGCCCACAGCGCCTAACGGGGTGTCCTATACCAACAAGGGGTCTCGAGTCGGCCAAGGGAACATTTGTCGAACAGGGACGGGGACGGGACGCCGAATGTCAGAGGGCCTCTCACGTCGGTCAGAGCCATCCGAAAACGAAAGAAAACGTGGAACGTTCACATTGAGACAATGGAAGAGTCCTGTGCGAGTCAGGGCCCCTAGTATCGAACGGTGGACCCTCTAACTTAATGCCAGCATGGGCCCGTTGAGCCGAGCTGGAGTATAAGTGACAATCATTGGACCGCCATTGGATCAGCGATCTTCTTGTGGCAACAGGGGTTCCTATGTCGATCCGGGTTCAACTGCGCGGATCAGAAGGCTCCCCGCGTCAGGGACAGGGACAATGTGATGTGATGTATCTTTCCGAGGGTCTCTGGATCGACCAGAAGATCCCGCACAGTGGGGCCAAAATGGCAGCCGGAAAACACACCGCGAAGACGCACCGGTGGGACGGAATGGCCCTTCAGCCTTGACGGGGAACGCTATTGTCATTACAGTCAAGGCTAGGTGAAAAGGTACGCCTCACGGCTTTAAAGCGCAGTTCATCATTCTTCGTATTTCGTCATTTGCCTGCATGCAGAAGCCCCTGTATATCACTGTTCTATGTGGACCGGATTTCTTTCATTTTGTGTCTGTGGCTGTAAATCCCCACTATATATTTCGCACGAAGTGTTTTTTCTACACGTTACACGGCTTGTGCCTCCTCGGCACGAGACATGCGTGCACTGGCCAACGGTGTATTTGCCCCTTCTCCATACATTCTCTAAGCGAATTGAAATGAAATAGGGACGAAAATAAATAGAATAGAGGCACGTGAATAGAGAAATAAAACAGACATGTGTGTACTGCCCCATGGTGTACCTTCCCTCTCCCCCACCCAGTATGAGGGCGAATGCTTCCTTTAAGTCAACAGGCATGCACCAGTGGCTCTCTTGCGACGCATCACGCTAAATACCGACAGTATCCTGATACTCTAGCGTTTATCGTGGTGTTGCTATAACAGTCTACTGGTGGACGCCCAATGTCTACTCCATGGCAGCTCCCGTCTCAAGAACATTTGTAATAAGCACTGCCACACTCCTTTCTGCTGGACTTGCACTGAGCATAAGGTGCCCATATCTCTGCCTACATTACCAGAGACTTCGCAGAACGATGAAGCAAACTGCGCATATTTAAAACAATTATTGTCACATCCATATTATGCATGCCTGAATCATCGTTTTATTTCACTCGGTTTAAGGCGAAGTGGAGTTCATTGCACTCTGGCTTATGCGGTTACGGTGATCGGTTGCCTTGGTCGATCAGCTGATCTTTCGCGCCATTTTCATTCGCGCTAACCAGCCTGTCGTTTAGCACGTGCAGCCCGTGGCGTGGGATGGTGATACTCTGATCGGGCGAAGAAAGTTTCTCAAGCGTCGTAGCCGCTCAGTACCGTACCACGGACAGATCACGACTCGTCGCGTGTGAGTTGGTCTTGGAAAGCGGGCTCAGCGTGAGGTCAGGCAAGGAAAAGTAAATATGGAATGAAGAAAGTTTTCGTGCCTGTCATAGTTGTAATTACCGACAAAGTAGGGACTATCTTGCCACAGAACGTCATTGTCGGTATCCAATGCTGCAGTAACAACGTGCAAGACAGCGAAAATAGATGCTTACATGTACGTAAGGCAAAATACATGTAGAAGAGATGTCACCATCATCCACATATTTCTGAGCATTACATTATATGAATTTACACGTTCGCAGTCTAACTTCTGGATTGCTTCCAGCTTTTAGGTTTATTACATATCTTGCTACATAGCTGCCCTCAGAACTCAGCATGATGCTACAGAGAAAAGAAAACCTCTACGAGAGACAGCAATGCATAATATGCTGTCATCTTAATTGAGACATGCATCAGAAAAAACCTGCCGCTGACATTCACGAGCATACATAACATCAAGCATTGGGCATGGCAGTGTTTTCGAGACATCATTTCTGAAAGGTTGACACTGCTGAATCTTTACATTGGCTTGCTATGGGGTTTTAGTCAGCCAGCTGGACTTTACTGATCTGAACTGAACTGAACTATGGAACTTTAGTTGGCGGTGACGCGCCTAACGAATCTAATTTTCCGTAACGTTAGTCGGTGTCAGGCCACTTCCTCACGCTAAATATGATGCATGACATAGCCACATGCCCATTGAGTAGCCAAAGACATTTACATGCATTCATGCGTATATCCTCCTGTCTGGACAGTGGATCATTTAATGCTCGAATCGTTAGGCTGGTTTGATAAGCACCAAGGCGATCTGAGAACGTGTACCGTTTTACTCTAGTTTCATTACCCTGTTTTTGCTGAGAAGTAGAGTTTTTCCTTCCGTCCAGCAGCATGCATCGAAATAAATGCCTTCAGTAGCAACCGCACCGAGTATTTGTTCGATAAAAACAAACTACGATGTGCCAACGTCGTGACTTTCCAGTGATTACGTTTGGCCACCTTAATGATTAGTTCGAGTTGTTGCCGCGAGGTGGCCTACATTCACCCACTGACAATGCTGGTAGCAATAACTCCCGTCTAGCAAGGGATATGACAGCACTTAACGTTATGTTGTTACACCACTGTGAGTCCAGGGGAATGTAGGACAGATGGGATTAGTTTCGCTGTGGGGCATGCGCGAACGGTACAGGTCTGTAGACTTGCGGGCATCCGACATTGTTGTTTATGCTGATTATGCTCCGTTTATTTTACAAGGACAGCTTTATGTATATGGCCATGCAGTCTGGGTCCACAGACTGTGGTTCATTTCGGGTCTGCAGACCCTGCGGGCACTGCCGGAATTTACGACAGAGGTACGGCTACCATGACTTGGGACGGAGGGGAAGACTAATATTTTACGAGCGACTCCCGGGCCCATCGAGAGCACCCAGGCTCTGCGAACAGACTAACATAACCCCTAAATCGCGTATAGGTTCAGTGCCTAGCGTATCAATGAGCTAT